AATATTAATAATCTGATATTAATGAGAATCTTAATTCTGCGAATAATTTATTATTAGCATTTATTATTAGTAATTCGTTGCTATTAACTATATGAAATTAATTAATAATTATATATTTTTTATTCTTCGACACAGTCTTCGGAGCACCAAAATTATACAATTATTATTTCAATATTCGAAGATTTGATTTTAATATTGAAATTTCGAATCTTTAAAGTTCGAATGTTGAAACAAATCACCAGGCCAGTTCAAAGTTACTTTTCAATCATGAATCATTTTAACGTCATTTCGACGTTATCGCGACTGTCTGGCTTGGTTTCCTTCAGGAAGAATTAAATGTCGTCATCGCGTCGATGTATCGGTGCCATCGGTGAACGCGCGTTCCAGCCGGTTCGCATCGAGAGATACACCCCTCGACGCGGCGAATGCGGAATTCGCGCCGCCGCGACGTTGCCAAGCCACCGTCGTTGGTGTCGGAATTCACGTGTTGCTACGCGACATCGTCGCCGTGTCCTACGAACGTGTGCGCGCGATTACGGCAACGTCGACGCGTTTCCACCGCACCGTTATCGACCGCGGCGGGCGTTGCGGATCGCGGCCGAAATCGACGCCACCGCGATCAGCAGCGCGTCGTAGAGTTTCAACTGATTTCAACGTCCCTCATATCCGCATTGAAACATTTCACATATTTCGATCGCTTAATTTTTTTATTTATTGAAAGAAAATCGTTCGAATCGTTGTCCGTCTAAAAATCGCTTAGAATTGAAGATTAGATTAATCGAAGCAATATTTTCAACAGTAATGTGATATTCACATAGTTAAAAGAATAGAATGTAAACTGAACCCTTCGCCGGCCAAATTTGACTTTTAACACTAACGCCGGTTGTTCCATCTTCGGATAAACTATGTGATAATTTATCTACTGGATAAACAAACGAGTAAAAGAGTAAGAGCATAAGAGAGTAAAAGAGTAAGACAGTGAGCTAAAGTTTATCGAAAGATAGAACAACCCAGCTTAAAGTACCAATGTTTTTTACTCACTAAAAGAGGGATAAGCAAATAAAATTACTATAATAAATAGAAAAAGTAATGAAAAATCAAACATTTCATCAGTATGAAGGATAATTATTGAAAGGTCAAACAATTTTATATTCCTATAATTTGTACATAAGAAATATAATATTAATCTGAAAAATAGAAATGTCAATAAAATAATCAATTACGATATGAATTTGGACCAATAAAAATAAATCTAATTAAATAAAAAAGAGAAATCCTAATTCGGTCAAAGCAGACCTTAGTGGTTAGATATTTCTGTTATGAATATATATTTTATATCTGATTCTGCGCTAGTAATAATGGTAGTAATAACCAAAATAATAATAATAATAACAACAACAATAATATAATAATAACCATATATATAATAAAATAATAATAATTCGGTATTTCACACAGAGACACAGTCGATAGCAATCGATATTTTGATTGTAAATTTGATAGATAAATTTCAATCTGTAAAAAAATAAACAAAACATAATACGACTTCTAGTAAAAGCTTATTAAAGCTTTCACAAATATGCAAAATTTTTTTCAGATTTTCGTGCAGTTTGGAACAATATAAAAATTTGCATTGAACCTTAAAGACCCAGACTATTGGTGAAAAATGCAAAATTTCTCATGATCGACGAAGGGATATAAAAACGAAAAATAATATGAATAAATAAAGAGACGGAAATAAATTGTTTCTGCAAAAGTTCTCTTTTATCGGAAAGCTAGACAAGTCGTAGATTCGTCGTGATGTGAATTTCACGTGCGAACGTCGTGGCAAATGGGACTTCCGCGCGCACGAATGTATGAATCGAAATATAAATAATACAACACGACACACTCACATGCGTAAGTAGGACTTTGAGCGCAATTACGAGGATTACAAGGGATTGTAAGTGCCCATTAGCCGCTTATTCGAACGCAGGAACGATTCGCCGTCAAGTCGCGCGCATTGATCCACCGACCAATGGGATGCGGGCATTCGTATCGTCCGATGTACGTCTCGCATCACGCATGTCAAGTTTGAGGAGGTAGCACACCTTTGATTTTGCGTCGTTCTTGAACTTCGAATTAGCCCGTATATCCGAAAGCGCTTAGCGCCACGTATTCGGGAAATGCTTAAGTTATTAACGTTTAATAACAACAGATTAGAGAGTTGGTGTAGTAAACAATGCATAAATTGTAATAAACAATTCTTTAATAGTTGTGACTTTAACTTTATACGTCGTTTAACTATTATAAAGCATTTTTTATTATTACAATTTATTATCATTGTTTACTTATTGTCGACTCTTAACCTTCTAACTCTTTTTAACTATCAATCTGTTTTTATTGAATTTTGGGAATTCGATTATTGTCTTCATTATTATGATACTAATATTATTGAGCGATTCCCGTGATGACCTCGTGGACTTTCTTACCGCGCGATGCAAATTATGTCGCAGATAGAGATTCTATAAATAGAGCCTGTCCTCGAACGATTTTATCAAAATTCGGAAAAGTAAGTATATACCCAAAACATATGATAATAAAATTAAAATAACATCAAGTCCCACACATGACACAGCACAGATTATTGCAACAATATTGCAGCAACATTGCAACGTTCCCGTAATATTGCAGCAATATTGGAGTAATGTTACTGCGAGCTTATATACTGTATGGGATAAAAGTAAATTTTAGAAAAAATTATAGTGACGTCATTCGATTTACTTTTGACGATGATTTTGTGATGAAATCTTCATATATTTTTAAGTGACTTTAACTAAGAAATCACTTAAAAATCATCAAGAATTCATCACGAAATCATCGTCAAAACTGTATCGAATGATATCATTACAATTTTTCTTAAAATGACCTCTACTCGTAATTTAATTTTATTTTAATCTTATTATAATTTATGTTCTAGGTATACTGTCTCCTTGTATATATACATACTACCTCATTCTGATTTATACTGTCTAATTTATACTGTCTCGTGCTATTAATGTTAATTCAGGTTATGCGAATAGTCTGCGAATCGCAGACAATTACAAAGTCGATGAGATTTAAAATTTGACTAATCAGAGAATCAAACTAATCAGATAATTTTAATCGTTATTTTTTTGTTCTAATGGATCAAATTCTAATCTTCAATTCACAATCTCTTCGATTTCTAATCTGGATCTAATATGAGCCTAGCGATTGTTTGCGTGAAACGTGACTTACGTGCCGGCCATTGATTTTGAAAACACAATGTATCCGTTCCTTAGGAAAGCCATTCGTTTACGGAAAATATGCAGTGTTTACGAAGAAAGAAATTGTTTATGCAAATGAATAGAAACTCGGTCTCCTTTGAATAATTCGTATGTAGGGTGTTTTTTTGACTCAAGCATTTGAAATATCTCTTGCATTATTGATTTATTTTCATTTATTTCTTTGAAGTCTTATTATTTGAGATATTGTTAAAATATCTCTGTTATTTTGAATGATATGATAAAACATCAAAGGGAAAAATTGTTTCAAGAGAGCAAATATTACGAGATAAACAACAAATTTTCTTAGGCTCATATTTATTGTAATTTCAAGATTATGGATTTAAATTAAAAAAATGAAATTATGATTTTTTACGCAATGTGATTCCTTTAATTATTCTGCATAAAAGTACTAAGATAGAACTGTAAAAAAATCGATGATGTATGACATATGTCATTTATGAAATACTTTCTACTTTATTTTCGCACAAATTTTAATATGAAATATAAAATTTCTGGTAAATTATTCATATCTTTATTATCTTAATACTTTTATGCACAGAATAATGAGATAAATCAATTGGTGTAAATAATGTATATACAAAAGTTCTTAAAAAAAATATATATATATATATATATATATAATTGCATAATTTTTTTTAAAAAGTTATGTTTTCTTTATTAAAAATAAACGCAGTTCATTTTTTAAATAGCTAATCTTTCTTTTTTGATATTTCATATCATTAAAAATAACAGAGATACTTTAAGTGCCTGAGTTAGAAGAAACGTCCTGTATATTTATGGATGGTTTCTTTCACTCGAAATTAGAGTTTTCAAAACCAGGAATTATTAAAAGTCATTAGTTTCAATAAACATGCAAAACTTAATTATTTAAAATATTTATTTTTACATCAGTATTTGTCAAATGATTTTTATGTACAATTTTGGGCAAAATTGTTGTTTGAAAATTGCAGCTAGGATATTTACGATTCTTCCAATTAACATCATTAAAATTTTATGCTGAAATATTGTAATAAATCACTGTAATAATCAATGCTTGATCAATGTATATACGTAATCAATATATAATAACACACTGTAGTAACTTTATATATAATTTATTTGTTCTAAATTCATTCTAAAAATAAATGTAAAATGGTCTAATTAATTTAACAAAGCATTCGTGTCCACCAATTTTATCCTCCAACGCGTCACGCATGCGAGTACATACAAGAAGAATAAATGAAGATTCGGTGTTCGGCGTGTCGCAAGAGACGACATGAGACACCAAGGAGGACGATTGCGCAAGTATGAAGCAGGACGCAGGATGTAAGACTCACAGCTGCGAATAGATTCCGAGGAGGGGGAAGCTTTCCGGGTGAGAGCGAGACGGGGAAGTTTCATACTCGATCGGTGGAAGGGCGAAAAGGATCGAAAGGGAGAAACGAGCGTGGACCGAGGAACTAAGGGAGATGGAGCTAGTTAACGAGCGGGATGGGGGGGGAGGGCGGCTCTGGCAAGGGGAAGGAGGAAGTGCAGTGAGAGGGAACGCGACCCCTAATATCAATAGCGGAACAAGTGAGCGGCAAGTCTCGAGTGGGACGAGGAAGGAAAGATAAAGAGACAGAGTGAGGCAGAGAGAGAGAGAGAGAGAGAGAAAGAGACCGGTGTGGGGCTGACGGGGGAGATGGTTTTCGCGCTCGCGGCACTCCTCATCCAGTCATCCTGACGTTACCGTTCAGTTCTCGAAACCGTGTCGATCGATTAGGAGGTGTTCAGTGATCTCCCGGCAATATATCAATTGACGTCCCGGTCGCCGCCGATCTCTTGATCACTCTTTTCGTCCTCCACGTGTCACGTTCGGTCGAGCACCATGTCGAGCGAATTTCTCGGGAAACGTTACAAGCTCTTCAGCAGCGAGAATTTCGACGAGTTCATGAAGGCGCTCGGTATGTACGTAGTCGAAACGAACGCCGGCCGCTCTCGGCACCGCTTCGGCAGTTCAAAGTGCGTCGGAAATGTTAATTTAGAATGTGCGCGTGATTGGCATGGAAAAAACTCGACGTGGGAGAGCCGGTAGTTAGTCCTCTCACAGTCAAATGAATATTTTTACGATAAATACTATTTTATGACTCAAAAGTCTTGAAATCATCTCGATCCGCTCTACGATCTTTATTCTTTGACTACGTGCTCGCTTTTTCCTTTTCAGATCTGGACATACAGTATTTCCCTAGACTTTCGTATACGTTTCTTTTCAAGAATAGAGGCCTGAAATCTTACTGAGCGAATTTTTACTCAAATGCTAATTCAAGTTTAATACATAATTCAAGTTTTTCTTATTAAAATTTTAATGGATTTAATATTTAATAAGGCTATTTAACGCTGAAAGTCATTTCTTTTATATAAAAATAGTGTTAATTTAGTTATTTTTACATTTTACAACTTATAAAATCGATTAAAATAAAAGTAAGTTTTGTAGTTTCAAGAATAAATCAAATAGGTATAAGTAAAATGCCAATATAAGCTTCCGCATTTGTTCATGTATAAGTCATTTATTTATAAGGCGATAAGATGTAATTTGCAAATTAATATTTTATCATCTTGTAAATATTAATTACGCACTAATAATCACGGAGAATTATGAAAATATTTTACTAATGTATTACTTGTTACAAAGTAAAATAAAAACTATTCCTAATTATATAGATGAATTTTCACCCAAAGTAATGTAAATGTAAAAAATATATGAGCATTTTTTTTAATCGACTTTTAACTCAAATTCGATTTGACCAGAATAATAATTAATATTCGAATTAAGAAAGTACATAATTATGATGTAATCAGAAAATAGTTGTCAAATGTAAATACATATGTCGGTTTCGTCAGAAGTTTTGAAAAATTTTTAAATCGCAGTTGGTAATTTTTCTGACGCAACTCTGCCACGTGTCTGAATATTCTCAGTAATCGTTAAGAACTGCATTACCGTCAAAACTCGTTTTTACTTTATTAGTTTTTTTTAGCAATTAATTTTTTATTTCGGATTTAATTTATCAGTCGAAAGTCGAACGTTGCGATGATACTAATATATATATTTAACAAGTTTTTTTTTTTATTCTTCGTCGTTTTTCTGCAGACCTTGGATTTTGTAAACACTTCGTGTTTAATACTAACTACGAAAGTTTATTTAGTATTAACCGCCTCATTATATTATGTAAACTTAAAACACGATAAAAGTGCACGGTTCAATTCTCGTCAGATTGCTATAGTCAGATTACATCAGATGCTGTATATTTTCATGCATATGTATGTGTTAATGTATTATTTATGCACATCGTTTATTTGCTACAACACAACACAATTCAGAAAACAAAAAGTTTTCCATAAACCTTGAGTTTGAATGCTTTGAACTTTGAATCATTACAATTATATGTAAATTTTAAAAGGCAGTTTTAGTATCAAAATTGATTGCTGAAAAATGTTCTTTCTTTTCTTCTTTATATTGTTTTCATATTTTTCTGCAATTAACTTGGAAATGATAATCTTTTATCTATGTCGTTATTGTAGCAAATATTTTTATAAATATATCGCTTATTTGCTACAATAACGACATAGATAAAAGATTATCATTTCCAAGTTAATTGCAGAAAAATATGAAAACAATATAAAGAAGAAAAGAAAGAACATTTTTCAGCAATCAATTTTGATAAATTTCTATTCCTCAAATGTTTTTCGTATTATACACAGCATTTAAAATTAGAAGAATTCTATTAGTATCAGAATTCTAGAAGTATAAATTTTGGCACAAGTTATAAGTGTAAAATTGTTCTATTGTAATCTGATATACTACAATATTCTAAGAATCTCTAAACCCATTATTACAAATTATAGGAAAGAGAAAGAGAGATAATTGAAGAATTGCTAAGAATATTGTATAGAAAAATGACAGGTTCATAAACGCAAAAAAAATCGAGCAACGTATCGTGCATTGTAAATTGCTCTTACAAAATAGCGAACGATTACACACATTACAGCAAACCGTATTATTGTGATGAGATCTGTCGTTAGCTTCGTTTGTGCGTTGTTCGGCGTACAAATGGTCGCTTGGTTCGACACATCGGCAATTTTACGTGCGTGTATGGAACGTGAACAAGCCCACGTGGAAGATGCGCGTGAAAAGTAAACATCAGAGAAGCTATCGGGAGACTTCATTTACGGAATTTCACGCGTTTCATAAAGGAGAAATAATATCGACAAGAGAATAATACCAGTTTTGACAAATATTCGAGAAAAAGAATCTTATAGTTCAGCGACCAGAGGGCATGTATTAAGCCTTGTGCACAATACAAAACAAACAATGGACAAAGAGAATAAAGCCTAATCTACGACGTACTTTGTTTCTTGCTTTTTATTACTTTTTACTTCTCGCCTTTTTGCCTCTTACCCAGTTGTTTCGTTTTCTGTCGTTCGATAAAAGTTGACAAACTTCGGAAAAGAAACGTGATTGTTGATAAAATGGTCGCAAAGAGATAAAAAGCAAGAAACAGGAAGTAAAAAACATATTGTAGATTAGTTTTAAAGCTTGAGACACAATTGAAAAACAATAGAAACAGGCAATAAGAGCAAGAAGTAACAGATTTCAATCTATCAAAAACTGTATATTTTTATATACATGATTTCTGACAGGTTGAAAGCTATTATTTCTTGTTTCTATTATTTATGCTTTTCAATTGTGCATCAGGCTTTATATAGATCCGACAATCAAGACTTTAACCTTAATTATTGATATACGATTTCCTATAAGTTGAAATCTTTTGTTTATTGATACACAGTTTACCACCAGTTGAAATCTTATTGTCTGTATTATTCTCTCTCTGTTCCTGTTGCTTTTCATTGTTTATGAAATCCGAGACACAATTGAAAAGCATAGGCAATAGGGGAACAGAGAATAATAGATTTCAATCTATCAGAAATAATGGTATATATACCTATCAGAAATATTTGGTATAGCATATGGTATTCTGATAGATTGAAATCTATTCTCTGTTTCTATTGCTTGTGCTTTTATTTGTGTTAGGCACAATGAAAAATACAGACAGCAGGAACAGAGAGAGAGAGAGAGAGAGAGAGGGGAGGGAGGAAGGGGGGAGGGAGAGAGAGAGAATGAATGAATTTGTTTTTTAATTGAACCTCAAACTTATAATAGAGCCTTATAGAATAGATACATAATAAATTTCGATCGGAATTATTCCATTTTTTTCTAGAAAACAATAGAAATTTAAGGAATAATTGAACAATTTCGATTAAAATCTATGCTAAACGGTTCTAAATACGTGTTTTTATAATTTCGTTACATTTCAGTCTATTTTAAATCTGCGAACAACCATTTAAAAGTATGTTCGAAAAAATATAAAAATGTATGTAGGATTTCGATTACAATCTATGCTAAACGGTTCTAAATACGTGTTTTTATAATTTCGTTACATTTCAACCTATTTTAAATCTGCGAACAACCATTTAAAAGTATGTTCGAAAAAATATAAAAATGTATGTAGGTATGCTTTCGCCTATACTGCATACCACCATAGCAGCTTTAATCGGTTAATTAGCCGCTAAAGTCGTTTGTACATCAGCGAGATACCAATGGAGCCCGGGACGTTAATCAATTTTAATACGTTAAATTACACCCCCTCACCTCATCGTGCAACGACCTGACCTCGATCTTAATTCCGGACAGTGTGCTGCGTACCGCCTGATTGCAGTCTAATTTAACACTTGAATTAATTCATTAACAGGATTAATAAATCTCGTAATTGACAGTCGAATCACGCGAATGCGCGTCCAGTATTCGTGCCGAAAATTCAGCTTGTCAATCACGTGTATTTTTTTACAATGTATGAAAACCGTGTTAGGGCGCGTTCTCATCTTGACAGAAAAGTAGAAAGCAGAAATGCAGCAGCCAATCAACTCGCGCTGATAGTCGACATAATTTCGACTTTCTGTACTGTTACTATCAGCGCGAATTGATTGGCTGCTGCATTTCTGCTTTCTGTTTTTCTGTCAAGGTGTAAACGCGTCTTTAGATTTCTGGAAGCAGACACACCTTTGGAACCAAACATTCGTTCCTTTTTGTTTAAATTAATGTTAAGGAAAAGGAAACTCTGTTATATTGGTTTTATCGATACTGATAATTTTAATCGCTTATCTGATGTTTATTGACTTCAGATAAACTAAAGAACCAGATAATGTCACATATAGGATGCGTTTCGAGTAACGCATGAAGCGCATTATGCAACTTTTATCTCTGTTCATCGAATAATAAAGAAAGATAAAACGATACATTATGCACTTCATGCGTAACTCAGAACGCATCCATAGTCTCCATATTTTCATTTTGTTGCACCATATTATCTGCTAATTTATTAATTATTATTTTTTAATTAAGGAATGTAAATAAGAAACAAGCTTCAATTTTAACTATATTGTTTCATTAATATCAAACATACACTTATAGGTCTAGTTTTTTCTTAAATTAGATTTTATTTTGTTTTCACTTTTCCTTAAATAATCATAATTACTATACTAAAAAACAGTCGAAATATCGGCAAGTAAACATGTAACATTTTCTTCGATACTTATTGATTACAAAAAATTTCTTTGAAATGACTATGCTTTTTTGAATATACTTTTCCGTAAAATATATCTCATTAATTGTAAAAAAAAATAAAATAAAATAATTTATTTATTTGCTAGAAATACAATTTTATTTCGCCGTAAAAGATTTATTTCACAAATATGTCTTACAAATAAAAATGGATGTTAAGTTTTGTTTTACGACTAAAATGAAAAAGTTCTGAAAGATACAGATTATATGTGTGCGTGCGTGCGTGCCATTAAAGAGTTATTTAAGCGGAATCGATTTTATATCGCTTATTTTGGGGAACATCAGGAACATGGAAGAAATCGTTATATACACAATACATACACATACATACTAATAGCAACAAAAAGTTGTTAATTTTTATTATCTAAAGCTAGAATTCGAAACCAAACGATTATTTTGTATCAGATTCTTCGCCGTTTGTGAATTGCTCGAAAATTTCTTTGATTGCAATTATGTGTTGTATAACAATGCAGTCCTTGTTTAATTCCTGAGATATCTTGATATCTTACTTAACAATTTTTTTATCAATAAATATGTGATATGAAATGTGAGCATTCGATTTATCATGACTTTTATCACGATTTCTCTCATGTTTTCAACGTTTTCCTAAGATAAGCGATACACCACACTGAAAAAAAAAGATTGGCTGCTGCAGCAAATTAGATGGTAAAATATGGCATAGCATTCTTAATTGGTTGCAGCAGCCAATTTTTGGTTGTGTTAGCCTATCGAAATCCTATACTGACATTGCGGATAGGCTAACGCAACCAATAATTGGCTACTGCAACCAAAAATTGGCTGCTACAGCCAATTAAAAATGATATACCATATTTTACCATCTAATTTGCTGCAGCAGCCAATCTTTTTTTTTAGTGCACTCGACTTAAATAGCCCTTTGATGTGATATATAAAATTACATTTTAGCCGAAATATAGCTAAAACTTAACATCGTTCTTCCTTTTCTCACGCCTGTTTCATCAACCAATGTAGATTAACTTCAATTTCTGTTTAACTTACTTTTCATTTTTCGCTACATGAGGAAAAATGTTTTATTATATAAACCATTTTCTTATATATAACGACAAAATATCTGATTAAAATGCACTGAATAATACTATCATTTGATATAAACAAGTTTTGTTATTTATAAAGCAGAAAATGTATTTCACCAAAGCAACTACATTTTTTATTATATAAAATGAAACATATTTGGCTGCTGTTGAAAAATGCCTTTAATGCTACAAAATTAAATTTTTCTGAAAACACTGAATTTTTTTTTCTTGGAGGGATGTAATTCTAATTAGAAAAAAATGAAAAGTAAATTAAATCCAGATGAAAGTTAATTTATATTTACAGATATATATAAGTCCAAATAACTGCAAACCATCTCTATTATATACATGAAAACAATATAATAATAAAATAATTATATTATACAATAAATTTTGCACGAATTTTATCCGATATTAATTTCGACTATTATATATAATTCCATTCGATTATTGATTCCTAAAAAAGCCAAATATAGGTGGCTTTTTAAAATAATGCTTAGGATATGGTAAAGTTACAAATTGTACGCAGGAGATGTCGGTATACAACCAGAACCGTTGACGGATAAACCGTATTCCACCCCCTCGCTCGACGTCGTTACGGTAATCTTCGGGAGAGCGGTTCGCCGGAAATTAAATAAGAGAGCAAGTCTAGACGCATCGTCTTCCGACGCGTTATACCGTGCGGTTAAATGCGTCGCGGAAAAGTTGATAGCGTTTACCATGTTTTCAAGAACTGCCAAGGTAGTGAGAGATCGATAAGCGACTCACTTGCGTGACTCAAACGTAAACCTGTAATTTCGTTATCACCTGTGAGGCGAGATAAGAGTATCTTCGCTTTTTTTTTCTTCCGAGGCCATTTAAAGGAACTTTTGACACATGTTATCAAGTGCTATCGTGAGTTATTATGACTCTCTGTCTACAATTTGTTTTTTTATACTGTTTTAGGCTTTTAAAAAATGCAGAAAAATTTAAGGTTATTTTTCAATATTTCTATTACCAAATAGATATTACAATATTTTAAAAGGGGAAACTGGACTTCACTCTCTTTTATTTGCGAGAAATTTGAGAGTAAAATTTTGTTGTGCACTGAGAAAAAATCTGGTAATAGCTATCAAATGTTGAGTGAAATAATTTCAATCAAATGCTCGGTCAAGGGATTATATCCGTGAACGCCTGAAAACATAAGATAATTTCGGGAATTTTTTGTTGTTAAATAATAAAATCAGTAGAAATTTAGTTCGAAGGCCTTTAATGTGTTCGTTTTATTTTTTTGCTTCAAGCTAATGGCGCTGGGAGTTTTGGAAGTGAGACTGCTTCTATTTATTTTATTATTAACTACAAAAAATTCTCAAAATTACTCTGTTTTCAGGCGTTCGGATATAATCCCTTATTTGTAATCAAAAACAATTTTATTTTTTTTTATATTTAGTAACTGTCATCAAATGATTGGTTACATTATTATGTTTAGTAATATTTAGAAAAGTAAAATAACTAAATATTTAGAAAAGAGAGAGTAAAATTATTTTGGGGTTATACATATAAACGAATACTTAATTGAAATTATTTCACATTTGGTAGCTCAACATTTGGCTATATTATCACACTGGAAAAAGAGTTTCTGGTTGTATTAATTGAAATTCTGGTTGAAAAATGAATCAGAATTTTTTGGTTAAACCCACTATAATTCTAATTGAGATAACCAAAATTCTTGATATGATAAAAATCTTCGATTTCCTTCATTTTTAATTTGAAATTTTTTTCAGTGCACTTTTTTTTCAATGTGTCAAAAAAGATCCACAATAGCAGACGGAGGAATAGAATCTGCTTTGTACATTATCAATATAGATTAACACTTTAATCTCGATTTCTCCAATTTTTCAACTTCAATTTACTTTACCTTTTTCTGGTTTTAAGAAATAGAGAAAGGTGAAGAGTAATTTGAACCGAGAATGTTACTCTACAGTGGTAGGAATGGGCATAAATTAGGCGATAATTATTTCATCGGTTTCGCGAACAGCAGATAATCGCCTTTCCAACAGTTTGCGAAAAGAATCATGACTAATCGCGAATTTGTTAATCAGTATTAATGAGTATTAATTTAATCATACCAAGATGATGAATAAACGCTAACATTTAGCTGATGAACGTGATGTATTTCCCGTTAACAATTGATGCAAACCATCAGATACTTTTGAAAGTTTTAGTTGAATCGCGTTGAAAACGAGAATTGAGAGACATTTATCACTGTACAAAGATTTCTACTTTGAGAATCTATTAAGTGCTTCTTGAATGTCAAAGCGATCATGTACCATAATATACTCACATACGCTCATGTAATATCACTCCGGATAATAATTCACGAAGTCTATAAATAGCGCGATCGGTGGGTCAAACTTCAAAGTTTACTTCTTTCGTCGTCCGTTGTCAATGCGGAACAGAGTTCCGCACCACGATAAACCTACCTACGATATAAAGTCTAATCAATCGCAGAAGCGAGCACAAGGCATACAAACCAGTCGAGCTGTTAGTCAGTTTCATTCTCGCAGTCGTCGGTGATAGATCGAACCATGTCGTCGGAGGTATTAACCGGTATCTTGGGCAAGCGTTACAAGCTCCAATCTAGTGAAAAGTTTGACGAATACATGAAAGCTTTAGGTGAGACGAGCACGTAAATCCGTTTTTCAGAAGAAATCGATCCCTGGCCTATTAACATAGATTACAAATGCATGTGACATAGATCGACAAATGCGTGTATTTATGTATTTTTTCTTTGAATATTCTTTACGAGGAACTGTTTTTCTTTGAAAGAATATCGAGAACTCGATAGTCGCCCTCTTAGGAAACGAAGTGCTTCCCAAGAGATAAGCTTTGAAGAATTTTATCAGCTGGCAGATAAATATTCATTTTGCCATTTAACTTCGAGTGGAGTTTAATAGACATATAATTTAAAAGTTATCCTGATCGAACCTGACGCACTCCCAATCGCTATACGATTTTATCTTTATATTTGTTTAGGCTACTTATGTTCATTCTGTTAGTAAATTTAAGTAGCAACTTGTGAACTTTCAAGCATATGGAGAAAGAGCACACTCCAAGCCAGAAGTTTGGAAAGACTTTTTAAAAGTTGACATTTTTGAATGGACCTTATAACTTTGTACAATTCTAGTATAGTCAGTATAATACCTATATAGATAAAATAATTTAGATGAACAAACAAATATAAGTGCCTAATATTTTTTTACTAAGGCTTTCAAAAGTTAATGCTTAAACCCTCACTTAAAATTTCAATTTTTAAGAAATGTTTCCAATTTTTTTGGCCTAGAATAAATGTCTTGAATATTTTTTCTCTTTTAATGATAGCTCGCAATTAGATTGCGAAGCGTGAACGCTTTCGCGAGAATGATTAATAAATTAATATTCCGCGATGAGTCATCTGTGTGACATAAATACATGCGGCAGATTAGGATTTCATAGAACTGACGAGAGGCGTAGGTGATTTTAAAGCAGCTTATGCTCTTCTTTCAGGCGTGGGTATGGTGACGCGCAAAATGGGTAGCAGCGTCAGTCCCGTCGTCGAATTGACGGAGAAAGACGGAGTGTACACTCTGAAGACATCTAGCGCTTTCAAAAATACCGAAATAAAGTTCAAACTTGGCGAGGAGTTTGACGAGGAGACCGTAGACGGCAGGAAGGTGAAGAGCGTCTGTACTCTGGAGGGTAACAAACTCGTACAGGTGCAAAAAGGCGAGAAGGGCACTACGATCGAGAGGGAATTCGGGTCTACGGAGATGAAAGCGGTAAGAGATTTTAGAAGATTATTAGAATTAATAATTTATTTTTCGAATATTCACACGCGTCACTTGCAATAAAGATGATTAAAATAAAATATTTATATGATTTATATTATAATAAATGCAAAAAGTATTCGTATAGAAGAGATATCTTTTGCAAAAATCTTAGTTTTAGAGAATAAATATTAATTAATAATTAGTAATTTATTAACAAAGAACAAATAGATTGTATATTTCTCAAAATTATTTCATCTAAAATTGTGTGCAATAATTAAAATATCTCAGTAATAAATGAAAATGAAATATGGTATTATTTGGACACCAAAAATATTCGTACAGTCGAAAACTTTAAGTTCTAAGTTATTTTTGTAAAATCTTCTTGTTTGTATTAGATTAAAACGTACTTTCTTGTTAATAAGTGGCTAATTAATGTCTATTTTCTACAAATAAGATTTTTTAAATGAAAATCTTATATATATGAATATTTTTTGCATTCACTGTAAATATAAATTATAAATGTTACTACGTTTCTTGGAGCAAATTATATTTTTTTACACATTTTATTAATAAATAGTTTAATTCATTCGCGACGCGATATTTAAATCATTGATACTTAAGTCGGTCTTATGTCAATATTTTATTCATAAATCAATATAACGAGCCTTATCGATCAAACTATGTCGCTATTTATTATTAACACTATTAAAAGTTAGCAGCAAAGTCTAATGTCGACCTTCAGTCGCGTAAACACTAAGCAAGAAATATATCTCATGTTTCTATATACTTGTCTTATGTGATAAATGCGCGAGATCCGGTTATGGACTAATAAATTAATGTCTGTTTCTTGAGAACGCTTCTGGAAACATCATTAACATTAACATTCGTACGTTGAATTTACAGTAGTACTCTAGTGAAAATTGTTTTTAGAATTTTTTATATAATTTTTCAGGATTTCTGTATAAATTTCAAAATTTTTGTATAACTTTTTAAAAAATTTCTCGTACTTTTTATATATAAAACGAAACAGTTTTATTTACACCTTTTCTAGATGTATATAAATTCTGACACACTAATTGTAAGATTCTATCATTTCCGAAACATGTTTATAGTCTGAAGAAATTTAAGGTATTTGTTAGAAATTGTTATAAATTTAAAATATAAAAAATTCTTGTATGAAAAATATGATATTTTGAGAACTTTTTTCAAGATTTTAAACGCACATATACTTTAATTACATTAACAATTACGAAAATAGGTATCCTGAAAAGAATTGTTTTTCTCTCTTATGGTTATATTTTTTCTTTAAACCGAGAACAACTTTCATTCATTATTTTCACGTGCGGCACTTTAAAAACCTTAATCTGCGAACTCGGATGATATGCAATAGAACATGAGTTATAGGAATGATGATATGCAATAAAACATGAGTTATAGGAATGACGTGGTTAATCGCGGTAGAAAATGCATTTGTCACTCGTGTGCGTGCATCCTTCCTCTCCGAACAACTTGAACTTTGATTCGTGTCACAGTGATGCGGGCGCAGGAGTTGCCAATTAAAGTACAAAAGCTATACGTGGAGGAACGTGACAAGGGACCGTTGCACGAGCGGCTAATGTTATAATGATTCGTCAAATGTCCGGCCAATTATCGCGTGCGCTCCTCCTGTTCGTGACACGTACAATTCTACAGCACCGAGCTCCGAAACGGTGCCAATAAAGATCCATTGATCCGTCTGGCGATACGTGTTAATACCGTGAGACACCGGCACGGGGATAATTCCCACTCTTTCGCTCTTCTACTTACAGAAACTATAACTGCTGTTAATAATTCCAAGAGATTATCGTTACGTCGGAGAGCTCTATCATCGTCAAATATTAACTGGCGTTATATGCTATTTCTGTTGTAGATCATGAAGGTCGATGACATAGTCTGCACAAGGGTATACAAACTTCAGGAATAAAGAGGCCAGTACCAAAGCTGAAAGCGTGCACAACTTCACACAGGTGCTTCAAAAGTAGCTTCTGAAAACGTGTAAATTATCGTTTGAAATCCTCGCTTGAGCGTGAATAAGGTACCCAGTTATAAAATGTAGTATATCTAAAAAACATCTTTTAGATATATACGTCTAAGAGATTCCTAAGATATCTTTTAGACATGTCTGGGTATATCACGCTGCTACGATATTGGACTGTATGTATAAGCTAATTGTAACTCGTGTTGAAATGTAACTCAAAGAGATTATAGAACTTACATTTTTTACGGAGTTAAAACTCACATATTTACATGCGTTCGTAAAAAGGATGTATCGAATGATAATCGAAGTATAAATTGATCCATTCTGTTGTGCACATTTTCTATTTATGTATAGCGTGTATTACGTAATAAAATATGTAATATTGTCAGCGAATTATGTTCCACGTACAGCGATCGCTGTACTACTTATTCTATGAATTTGCTTTTTTCTACGAATAATAATGTCTAATGAAAATATACATGTGTTTTCATTCAAAAATTAGGAGACTGCTAACTTCTTTTAAATATGTTGTACATGATGTATACGTATGTGGCTTCGGGAGTTTTAGGGGTCGCTCGTTCCGAAATCGTGATCAAAATTTCGAAATTCAAAATGGCTGAACCAATATGGCGGATGGAGATGTTATGGAAATCTTTAAGATTCTTCGATTATGGTGTAATTTGTTAGGGGGTTTTTGGGGTCGTTCATTTCGATCTTGTTCAAAATTTGAGAATTCAAAATGATTGAACTAATATGGCGGGAATGTTATGGAAATCTAAAAGGTTCTTCGATTTTGGTGAAATTTGATACCCGGGGGTTTTTGTGTTCGTTCCGAATCCGCGATTTATTATTGGGGTGATTCAACCACTTTGAATTTTCAAATTTTCAATCCGCCATAATAATTCGGTCATTTTTCTTATTCAAACATTTTGAATCCAGATTCGTAACATTATATTTTATAATGTCTAAAAAGGAGAGGATAATGGAGCAGCGCGCGTGGGGGATGTGCTAGTTATTTAAAAAGCAAATCTGAAATATTAAACATATTTTTTTAAATAAGAAAAAAGTATCAATGAAAATCTGTAGAAAAAATATTTAAGTATTTATTAAAGTAATTTTTATACATAGATGGGGGCATCTGAATATATTTTATTTCTGATTTGATACGTTTATATCACCACTGTTTTTCATTCAAAATTTTCAATTAGTGGAGAGATCTGTAAATGAAATACAAGAAATTTTTATCGTATATATCAGATATATCAATGCATCATAAAATATAAGATTACACAAAATACAATTGTGAAAACTATTTAGTACTAAATTAATATTACAATGATAAATTTGATTGTTCAATTAATTATAAAAAGTCTTACGTAATATTCCATGTAACATGTGTTTCCATTTTCGGTTTTAATCATATATTGAAAACACAATAAACCGACGTTATTAGTTCTTAGGGAAACCTTGCTCGCACATGATAACGCTTTCATTGCTGGTTTAATATGCTCTAATTTAAAAGTGGATGTAACCGTTGTCGTACATTGAAATGTGTCTATTAAATCGTTATCATGTGGCAAGTCGATGTGGCAAACGCTGCCTATACCTTCCAAACTAATTCTGAAGAAGGGTTTTTCCGGTGATAAACGTAACTAGAATATAAAAGTGTCATATTTCAAAGAGACGTTTGAGCCGAAAGTAAATTTCTAGGTATTTTAAAGCTCGAGTTGAAATTGAAATCGCTTATTATACCTCGACTAGTTGACTAGTTGGATCTAATTCAGCCATGACAGCCTTCAATAATTCTGTTTGCAACACTACTTTATTTACAACGTTTTCTGTATCAAGATGAAAATCTAACAATTCCTCTACTTCTAAAGTTTTCAACGAGCAGTCTGTTATGATCCCATCTTCTTCAATGATAATACTTAGAGGATAGCCTGTACCCTACAATGAATAATTATGATATTAATATTGTTACAGCAATAAAAAAATGATATCGTTGCTTTAATATTACGATTAAATAGTATAATATGCATTTTGAATTGTTTTTTTCAAAGAAGAAAGTTTAAAACCAATTTTGGTCGTGAACGGAAATCTATGCAGTTATCATCTTGAAAGTCCATACATTTATAAAGGAAAGTTTATTTATCCAGGAAAGTTTGGAAAATCTTATAAAAATAATAAAGTAGATTGTTTAAACGCTTTGCAAAAAAACTCATTTTATTTTTAATGAACATTAGATTTCAAAACTAATGGCGTGTTTACATTTAACACGTGGGACCATTAAATACTGTAACAATACACACTACCAGGGAGATCCATAAATATATGGGATATTCTACTTAAAATAAATAAAACACCAAAATACATCGAAAACTGAACCCGTTAGACAAAAATATTTCAGATAAAAGTTGTATGGCTTGAAACGGGAACAGATCAATGTTCGAAATAAATTGATTTTTTAAGGTTACATGGAGGAGGTTACCTCCATTTTTTTAAACTCTAAATTTTTTATGTAATATGACTCCTCTTTAATTATTTTTCAGGTTTTATAGGTGTTTGTTCACGGCTAAAATTGGCCATTTTTAAACTCGCTTCTTTAGTATAAATTTTTCCTTTTCAGCTGAATTTCTTGCATTGTTTATTTTTTCTCTTTTTCTTTCTACATTAAAAAAAGAAAGAAAAAATGAATAAAAACTAAAAAAACAGGCTTTATAACTCGGAAAAATAAAATGTAACAATTTATATTAAGTTATTTGTTCGGACTTTAAATTCATTAAAAATAGATGAGAATTATTCTGTTTTTATACTGAAATAACACGTTTTTCGTTTACTTTGTAAAATATTTGCACTGTAACGGAATTTTCTTGCGAAGTAGGCCAGAACATACAAAGGCAATCCACTAATATGTTCAGACTTAATGAAAACGTCACGTCTTCTTTCAATCCAAATTCATCAAAAACTGTAGATGGGATATATGCACTGGCCTGCATACATTTTGCATCTTCAACTGTGATTTTCAATCCATTTTCACTACCGAGGCAAGTAGCTATCTAAATAATAACCATACATTATACCATTTTTATCATTATAGAAAAATGCAAGTATATTCTAACATAAGTATACATGCTGTAAGTACCTCTTTAAAGTTGATAGCTTTTAATAATTCTATTATAATCTTTAGATTTGTCAATCCCACTTTTGCAACCAATATGTAGTCTTCTGTGTTAGAGGGCATCATATTTGTTTGAAGCCTGATATAACAATAAATTATTAAATTGCATTTGTGTTAGTTGCTGATGTAATAACTTTTCATTGTCAATACTGGCTAGCCAAGTTGCCAAAACATGTTTACATGTAAAAGCAGACCGATCTGTTAGAACCTGATGTCTGTAACATTGTAAGAGCTTTTATAAGAACTTTTTATGATATCTTGTATAACATGTGCAAGAGATATTTCCTCTTATAAGTACATGTAAAATTTCAAAAAACATAATTACTCTGTCTTTTGACTAAATAATTTATTTACATAGGATATTACCTGAAAGCAGCGCAAGTACAATAATTTATTTCTGGAAAAAGTGTGTACAATGCTCCAGAATGTCCTTTGACTTGCATTAACCAGCTGGCTTCGTTAGCACTTTTACACGGCTCTGTTATAATCGCATTAGATGTAGAAATTTGTGTCACTCGTTGTTGCTCGTATAAATCTAAGGCTCTTTCAAATACTCCATCAAACAGCTTGTGTAGTTTCAATAGATTTTGATCGGAGACTGAAAGTATTTATCACTTTATTGTCGAATAGATTATACTTAATAAGTTTTGATTTTATTTGAAAATTATTAAATACTTTCGATAATTTTCCAGAAATAAGGAGAAAAATTTAAGAAAATGAAAAGTAAAAAAATCAGAATTAATTAAGAAAATTAATGCTTTTATTTTAACACACTTTTGTGGTCATATGTAAATCTTTATCTCAAATAAAATTTAAAAAACGGCAAAAATAAAGAAAATTTGTTATGTACTTATTTGTTACAGATTTTGTCTATTTAATCTTAATCTCTTTTTTCCCTGGTGGAAAAAATTTGTCAGTTTCCGAAAAATATAAAAAATGACAAATTCTAACAAATTCAGACAGTATTATCGAAATTTGATGGAAAGTATCTAATTTTATCTGTAACTATCCAAATTTGTCCGAATTTGTACATTTCGACAATTTTCGGAAACATTTAGGACGATTTCGGACGCATTCGGACACATTTTTCCACCAGGGTTTTCATTATTCTTCTGATTTTTACATTCGCGATAATTTTTGAGAGAACGTAGCAAGCTCAAAACTCGTGCATACGCTTTCATTTATAAATTGAAGAAAAGAAAAAGAAACAGACTTGTATAAAGTTATTAAACAGTGTAATATGTCACATACATATTTTCTCTCTCTCAAAATCGTCGGCTACTTCCTTCAGTACGTTATCCACGAAATCTACATATTTCTGATCGTACACAGTAGGCGGTTGAGAGCCGGTATTTACTACCTGTTGATATGAATTCATGTAGTAAATGGAGGTTACGGTTCCGTATTTTAATTTTTCCCGAAACTAAAGTGCTCATTCGTTGTCATATCTCCTATCCCATGTGCTTTTAAAACGCGATTCAAACTTGACTCGTCTTTATCAAATCTCAAATAAATGGATGAGGAATATCATCTAACAATCGTATCTAAAGAAGTCTGTCAACTGCTGTTAATTGGATGATTATCTACCCGAAAATATTTTGAAGAATGGAGTTAGTAGAGTCAGAAACTAGAGAGAAACCAGAGAGAGGCCATGCCGGCCTTTTCTTGTTATCGTCGAAATCACCCGTACACGAAAACACCGTACCGTCAGTACATCCATTTTCAGTTTAAGAATTGCGTGACTATACACATTTTCTGACACTATCGATAAAATCGTATCGTCAAATTGCCAGGTAACTTTTTCATGAAACTTTTTTCCTAGGATGAAAAGTGAAAAGTAAAAAATTTTTCCATTAACTTTAATGGTTAAAATTTTCACTTTTCACTTTCACTTTTCCTAGGGATAAAGTTTCATGATTAATACCAAAGGTTTGTTCGCGTCGCATGCTCCAACATGTTCCAACATACTCCTACAGCACCTATTCACTCTATCAAGCGCGTTGGAGTGAGTAGGAGCTATGATAGGAGCATATTGGAACATATTGGAGCATGCGACGCGAACAAACCCATAGAGAATGGACTACGCGATCCGTGTGTTAAAATGGTCGATAGGGATGATAGAGAGGGACCGTGGCAGATGGCCATTTCTATCTCTTTCCATTCAATGGTGTAATGGGAGAGAGAATGAGAGGGGGATTGGCCGTCTCCCACGGTCCCTCTCTCTCATTATTGTTGACCACATTTGATACATTACTTAGATACGGATCACGTAGTCCATTCTCTAGGTCTGTTTTCTGT